TTCAACGATCAAAGAGTTAGATTTTAGTCATATCAACGGATCAGAGAGGGACGAAGGGGGAGGGGAGGGTGAAGGGGTCCATCACTTCGTTAATGTCACCGCGCCTTCACTTTCTCGTGACGTGGTAGGAAACGTGACAACGCATGATGATTTGGTCTTCGACCAAGGGAATTGTATTGCCTGTATAAACGCCTTCCGCATGCCCAAAATCTGGTTAGTTAGCCGTATGGCGACGGCTGGCGATGACGCGGCGACATGAACTAGTTGTCGGACCCCTTCCACCACCACCACCACTCACCCCCCTTCGCCCCACTCTCGCCCCTTGATCTCTGAACACCTTCCCCCGTCACTTACCGTTGATTGGATATTCATACTTTTGTCGCTTTATCCAATCTTGTGCAGTTGTTATAACTAGATGACGTACAATCGAAAATGTACGTTTGCCAAACTGCTGTGCCCAGTTGGAGCCGCGTTTAAGGTCCCCAATCTTTAAGCTTTTAGCAGAAGTTACTGACGATAAAAAAAAACAAGTTAATCAAAGTGTGTTTATCATTGTATAAACTTAAAACCATTGTTTTTCTTACATACAAGCATTCATTGATGAGGTGGCAACACAGGTGAAGCGAGAACGTCTGAGAGCGCGGATGTGTGAGTTTGTGCTTTTTATTCCATTTGGCAGTCAATTTAATCATTTCTAAACTGCGTTTTTTTTAAACTTTCATCATCATGTTCATAATGGGCAGTTGTTTACGCAAGACATGATCCTAGTTGCTGGCAGATATTTCAGCTCTCTTTCTGATACAACTGAGATCACACTATTTACCCATGCATTTGTGAGCGGGAAATGCACAATGCATTCCTGAATTTGCGCAAAATAAGCGTGTTCACGGATACCTTCTGTCAACTGTCGTGTCGAAATTGTGCAGTTTTATAGTCGGCGTTTTTTTGTTTGTCCCTCGTAGCCGGCTTTGATTCCACTAGCACGCTTCCATGGCCACACTTTTTGGCTATAGCTCAGGGGCATGCTCAATTTTATTGGCTGACTTTCCTAATCCTTGTGGTCAACGTAACCAATAGGTGAGCAGTCTGACTGTTAGTATCGATTTTTTTCGCCGTGCACGTGTGGAGTTTTACACTAGCCAATGGCGTTAGAACTGAGGGAGTTTCTCTCCCTGGGATGCATTCTGTTCAAAACTGCGCAAGTTGTGAGACCCATGACTTGCGACCCAGGTTTTTTTAACAGACCAGTGTATGCGATTGAAGCAAAGTCAAAATTAAAAACGAAACAGGGAGCTTTTAAAGGTAATGAGACACCCAAATGGGGCTAAGTGGTCTGGAGTTTGTGTGGATTCTTGTAACGTCAAGTAGGAACGCTACTGCTCTGGGTAGGTATTTACTGGACGACGAAGAAGACGTTTTCTTAACACTACCACAAATATGCCGGATTGGTATGAATTCTGCCGACGGCTTTGATCTTAGTTAATTTTATACGCATATACAATATGTACGGTTAAATATCCTAGGTATTTCTCTGTGCAGTATCGTGTGATAACTTTCAAAATTGCTACTTTCAGTTGGGGCAAGTATTTAATTGATTTTAAATCACCTAATCGAATTTCGAACATAATGGTCGGCGAGTTCAAGACGACGAGGGCGGTGGCAACAACATTTATGGCCTAGGTGCCGTCGTCAGTCACGCTATAAGTCATGAACATGCCGGGGAGAGACTTCTTCAGGAGAAGAAGATGCGATCGCTTAAACAAGGACTTCATTCGCCTGACGTTTCGAATTCTGCTGCGGATTCATCATCAGAGACAGTAACAGAAACGGGTAATTCAAAGACAGGAAGTTGCAGTGTGCATAAGCTACAGTCACTATGCTACTGCATAACTATAATAGGTGTCGGTCTGTGCGCTAATGGTTTCGAGACCTGCTAAACTTTAATCAGCCATGTTGGACTAGGGCGTGATGATTGCTCTGCCATCTGGCTGTCTGGCACTGGCGTCAGAAGACGTGTTTGCCTGTACTCTCCCCGACTGGCGGATCACTCTAGCCCCAGCACCGAATATACGTCAATGCCCTTGTTTATGGACTGACGACCCGTAGACCATGACTCAAACAACCGGAGACTAACCCGAATGTCACCTCTCAAGAGAATTTCGGCTTCGTCATATTTGAATGTGTGACTGGGGCTCGTCGAATGAACCGCGACCTGAGAATTGACGTCATTTGTTGGCACTGCTGCCGCGTGTTCGGCCATTGGCGTCTGCGGTAGTAATCCAGTTTCTCCGACCTCGTCTCTTTGCCGGGAAACGGGACCAAATAAGAGAAACGACTTCAGATATTGCTTGCCGTTGAAGTGGGTCCTTTGGTTTCCTTTCCTGACAACAAATTGTTGTGGCCGCACTGTGTGCGACTCCCACTCCAAGTGGCTGACGTATGGGACCACTGGCTAGGAGAACGTTAGCCGCTTTCTCGCATCACTTAGAATTGGGGTCGCACACAGACCGAAGGCGATCATTGGGCGTCAGGAAATGAAACCAAAAGACCCGCTG